CATGGTACTGTATCAACTAATTAGTGAATCAAAATTTTTTTTTGCGATTCTGCAAATCCAAAATTAGCAGAATCACTCCTCGAAAAGCATTTTTTTTGATGGCATTTCCAGTTACGATATTACAAAAAAAAATTTGAAAGACGTTTTCAAAGAATCAAATCTTGTCGCGCTGCAAACTTTTGCACTAAAATTTCAGATGATCCGGTGGAGCTGATAAAGCGCGAAATTTACTTTTATGGTCCGATACTTGCTTGCTTCACGGCGCGAGAGGACTTTCAGCATTACGATTCAGGTATCCGCTTTTTACACTTTCACATAATAGTCCGGTGCTGAATAATAGTTCGTTAATTCATAATCTTAACCTCTATAAGTGCAGCTGGCAACTTTTTTTTCTGGCAGCGATTCTTGTACTTTCTATATTTACACCATAATTCAAATGGGGAATTGGTTTAGCGTATGTGTGCGCACCTACCGTTGTTTTTTTCATTGTTAGTATCACTCAGTTATTCATTTAGTCCATCTGTTGCAAATGAGCTGTTCAGCTTCTTGTTGACATATAATTACTTTATGTTTTCTGTGTTTTGATGTGACAGAATATAGAAACGGCTCGTCAGTTACGTGCTGATACCTAATAACCGCCTCTCCACTGAACTCGGTGTCATTCTTACCTTCTTTTCTCCCGTAAATATGGTTTAGTACTTATAGAGTAGTATAGACAGATGGCGTTAGTATCACTCAGTAATCAGCTTCTTTAATTTCCTGTTTGCCATTCTTTTCATACGGTTAGAACAGATACCTTAATTATATCTCTCATATCAGATCGGAACCGCAGTTGGCGATATCCGTTGTTATCATCTTCCATGCTTCGCTCCATGATTTACTGTATCAAAACTAATTTTTATCTCTCAGCAGGAGCTTTCTTTTGTAAAACAGAACTAGCATGTTACCTTCTCCGTACTGTGAATAAATTCAGTTTCTCAGATTTGGCAATGCCGAAAATAAAAAAAATGGTATTTAGGAATATATCAAACAATTCACTCGCCAGAATCAAAAGAGCTCTATGGACATTGTGCAAAATTGCTGGGTTGGGGCGAAGAGAAGGGGCTTAAATATTGGCTATACATGAATACTTGGGGAAGGAACTGGGGTGACTTTGGTAAGTTGAATTTCAAAGCAGCTACTAAAAAGCTTTATAGTTTTGAAAAATCTAAGCTTACTTTATATCTTGCAAGGATGTTTGAGTAATTC